CGTATATATTTGACCCTGGATTAATCTCAACATTTTTCTCTTATTTTCTATCTGTTTTTTTTTTTTTTTTTTTTTAAGTGCTGGTTTTGGCTTGAATTTTGATATTGTGAAGAGATGGAGGACCTAGATTTCAGTGATGATGATCGAGATCGATGTTCTAGAATTTCTAGAATATGCATGAGCGGCGCCTCTACCACAGGCACGTAAGGTTTCGGTCAAATCCCTTTGAGGATTTTGCCGACGTCGACTTCTTCGCACGTTTTCGCTTGCGAAATGCGAAAAGAAACAATTTTATTTTTTTCTAGAATAAATCGAGCATAGACTTGAATTCCCAACAAACCTATGTTTGTTGAGAATTCGAGTATATTGTTTATTTCTACACAGAATACACGAAACCAAACTTTCCGCTAGTGGGTATTTACACCAAAGTAGCATGCGATGTACTGCTGCGAGAGAGCAATAAGAAGCATGCTATTATAATTTTCGAACCTAGAAATATATGCCTGAGTTTCACACCGTAGTGATTGGAACGGTATATTTTAATAGTATGCGACGTACTTGCAAGACGCACAAACGTTGTTTATTTTTGACTTGTTTCGTAGAGGAGTGTCGATAAATATGGTAGCACTGTGCGACTTTGGTATGAATGTAAACATGGAAAACGCAAGTTGCGACGTGCTCCCTGCTTTCTAGCAGCAAGTCGCACGTCGCATGCTACTTTGGTATATGGATGCCCACCTACGGAGACAGACAAAAAAAAAACATAAATAAGTAAGGTAATGAGCAGAAAATGTCAAAAGTACAATAACAGTGAGCTGGCTGGCAACGTTGCATAAGTAATGCCAACCTTCGAAGAACCCGAGAGTTTAGTTTAAAAAAGCTTGGATAAACACCTTTCGACTTAACTAACTAGGTAGTTAGCCCAGAGTTAGAGTTGGCCAGGGTCAGCAAACTCTGCGAGTTATCCCTCGATTCACTTGATTGATAAACCGGCCCTCAGTCAGTTTTTAAATAAAATCGATAAACATAAATAAAATTGAAATTGAAAATCAAAATCCTTTCACCAGCTCGATATGAACTTATACATATACCCCACTATAACCTGAAGCTATTTCCACACCAACGAAACACAGAAGAACATTTTGTTGCTAGTTGCCGCAACACGTACTTAGTTGCTTGTTCCCAAAACTCTGAGTAAAACCGCCTATTTAAAATATTATTTTCCCTATTAGACCCCAGTACCTGCCACAGATGGGCTAACTAACCAAAAACTCTTCAGTATTAAATAGGTAGTGTTGATTGCAACTTTTTCAAAAACACCTTGTATCTGGAAAACAAAAAGGGCGATGACACTGCTGTTGGCGCCATCTTTCGCTTGACAAAAAAGTAACCAACGTTCGCGAAAACCGCATCCATCTAACTCCAATAGCAACCGAACCAAGTTATCCCTTATGTACAATCAAAATGGGACACACTGTACACTGGAAATCCCATATTTACATTGGATTGGATTTCTAGGGTCTTCACTTAATACCTCTCACGTCTTTCGACACCGGAAAAGCGTAATGACATAGCATAATAGAATTTAACTTTACTAGGCAAGCTTAGCATTCCTAAGAAACTTATCCAATCTTACTGAAACTACTATAAAGAAAGTATTTAACTGAAGAACTTTAATAGTATTCGAAATTTGGCTACGAGCTCTAAGATTTATACCAATAGGTACTTTGAAAACTAAATGTTACTAGAAATCGTTGAAGAATGAGCTTCATCCTTCAACGATTGTGCGTGCGAGAATATGACATGCTTACACCAAAATTGAGAAAATATTTACTTACCTGAGTGTAAGATACTCACTTTTTGTAAAATTTAGGACTATAATCGAGAAAAATAACTAATAACAAATCACTTCACAAAGTTGCAATATTTATGCACCACGAACCTCGCCGAGATTCGAGAACTGACATATTTTTTACAATTTACATAATGGGTACTGCATTAAGTAAGAGAACTTTAACTCGTCCTATTAATTCGTTGTTATAACAAAAAAACATTGTAAAATGTACCGTTTTTGTTAAAATGTCCTAAAATATACCACACACCTGAACAAAGATAGAAAAAAAACTGTCGAAGAAAAAAATTGCTATTATCTTACCATATTAAAATATTGGACGCTCAATAGGCATATAACTAAGTACTGAATAGAAGAAAATTATTATCCGATGTAAGTACATTATACCACAGAATATACATATACAGTATATGTAATTTAAATGTGCAAATGCTATTACCTCATTGATATGATAGGTACCTACTAGAAAGTTATTATAAATAGCCTTAGCTTCAATAGATATTTGTTTTTCAAATACGACAAAGTGAATGGGTGAGGAATACGAATGACATAAATTACTTTTCTCCGATTTGAATATGCCGAGTACTTATCCTTTTCCATTTATATGTAACAAATAATTATTGTACTCACATTTTCTTAAACACCCTAATCTTCACTCCCGACTTGAATCAAATCAACTAAATAGTATATTATGAAAACTATATCTCTAATGTACCTACCATTATTTCACGGAATTTCTTCATTGTATGGCTTTATTACCTACTTTGTTGTTGGCAGATTCAAAATTGATTGCTTTTAACCAGAACCTTGACCTGTAATTTTTTTAGATGTTTTTTTTTTTAGGATGTATTTGTGCAATATTTTTCTATAAAGGCATCACGAATGGGCTCTTTCACTAAAATTTAAATACGTAGTTTAAGTATAAAATCCTAAAGGAGGAACTATTTTAGGCAAATATACCAAAAAAAAAAAAGATACACAACGTGAAATAAGTTTTTTACAGGCACTTAAAACTGGCCAAATTCAAAATGATTAAAAACGCGCCAAGTGATGAGTCATTTAAATAATTTCCATTTGGCCCAAGTTGCTGCAAGCAGCTCATCGGCTCGGCTGTATACCGTGTAGTAGAAGCACGTAAAGGTTCGAATGCGCTGTTGTCGGTATTGTGACTGAATGTAGTGCGACGTAAAAAAATAAATAAAACTGCACGCGTGCTAGCGAAATGTCAGGAAGAAATTCTAACTTTCGACGGCCATTAAACCCTGGGCCGCGAAAACCTCACAAACCTTATGTTTGAATTTTAGTTAAGTTGGAAGTTGGTGCTGGTGGATAGATCTATATGTCTTTTGCCAAAGTAGGTATAGTATTTTTAGTCCGACTTGAAACATTAAAAAAACGGTATACATCAAACAAATAAAGGACATGGACGTCACATACTTTTTAAATGGTGATAATCAATATCAAACAATATTACAACTAAATAATACGTGGAATAAAACAGCATAGGTATAATGAATAAATTGGGATGACACTGGTTATAGAAATCGCTAAGTCTAGTTAGCAGGTTTATCTACATCGCTCCCGAGCAGGTGTAAGTAGCCCACCCCAATAATTGAACCTATAGGCGCGTACCGACCTAAATTATTATTTTGGGCTACTGTAGCGATATTTCGTCGCTGCTTATATTTTGTACAGGAAAACTTACAATAGATTTTCTATGAAATTAATAGAAGAGAGCGACGTGATGTTGAGATATCCTCGTATAATGAGTGTTTCAAGTCAGAATAGAAATACTTTACTTACAATAGGGAACAATCATATTTTTCAAATTATTTTTTTGCCTATTCCTTATGTTTTCAAATATAAAATATAAATGCTTTTGCTCGTACTATGTCCTCATTAAAATTTTAAAAAAATAATGAATTTCAAATTATTTTCGTTGGCGCTAAAACGATTGCCTTCAAGATGGCAGTACTTGTGACGTCAACTGTTTGTAAATACAACGTTAAGGTCTATTCTCACTTCTCACAAGAGTCTCTGACAGTTTGCAAACTGTCAGAAAAAATCGCTCAGCTCGTACCTTCGACTGCATTGAAAGTGGTTATTACGTTGGGTTTCCATGTTTAGTGCCGCATTATGAGTATTGTGATATTTTGTGTTTTCAATAGTTCATCATGGTTGAGGTTGATATACGATTTACAAAAGTGCAGTTTGACAATTGGCTACCTTGCCTCTATAGACCCATTTATAGTGGTTTAATATCAGTCGCGCGGCATTACGTGAGTTGATTGTGGACCAATCGTTCTTCACGACTCAAGAGTGAACCACGAAAGCGTGGCCAGCGTTATTTATTCACGATCAGTGTAAACTACCCTTAACCTTAGTTCACGAACAGTTGACGTCACCGGAAGCGGCCATGTTAAACGTAACTTTTTCGCGCGAAACTTTTCAATTCAAAACTAATAATTGCCGTATGACTATGATATCGATAAATTTAATGCAAAACTGCTCATATTCAATATTTTACAGGAAAATATGCATCATCAAAATAAAATAAGCCATATTTATTTCTCATGAGAATTCCCTATTAAAAAATATGTATAAGTATCTGCTATCGGACATCGTAAAAGGAAGTTTAAAAAAAGCATCCGTAAGGTTCCTATATAGGTACTTGTCGAAAATTCTAGACTCTGCTTCTCACCCATATAAACATCGAATCCCGTACGTATTTATTTTTCTTGGAATAACGTAAACGCCAAGGAGTTAGTATATTGTTAGCAAATTCTGCTTACATTTTGTACTGACAAAACTACTAAGGAGGGACGTTCTAGTGTGTGTGCCTAAACATTTTACAAATAAATTTCCAATTGAAAGTAGCAATTAAATAGAATTTGTTGCATTTTGCATCATATCATTTAGCATGTTTGAGATACCGCAAATTATCCGTCATGCTTCACTTGATCCTTATACCCACCCAATCAGAAGCGATTATACTCAACAAAGTAGTACCTACCATATACTTTCAAATATTCCCGCGGTTTTTTTTTTTTTCGCTCTCGACAAAAACCTCGCACCTTTCGAACAGGTGTTTCTTTTTACGAGATCAAGTTACCTTTACCGAGCAACGAGCAGTTTCCGATTCTCAGTTAGTTCTCGCGAGTTGACCTTTTGCTGTGTGTTTGTCCGAAGTACCTTATAGCAGGAGAGGCGGCAACATTTGTTTTCTGCGTTTCGTAAAAATAATAATAATTAATTTATTTATTATGTCGGCGTAGGATATATGGAATTTTAATACAATTAATTAATTATAAGTGATTTTTTTTGGGTATCTTCAATAAACTATTGGATAAACGCAAACAAAAAAGATGTAAGTACTTATGACTACACGAAAAGTTGCAAAAATTGCAACAAATTATAAAAACAATTGTATAAAATAATACACCGGATAAAATAGAAACCTGTTCTTATAAGTGAATTTTAATGATCCAAGTTCAACAAGTAATGATGTTCAATTGATTGTTGTTAAGAAATATTTATTTTTATTAATCGAATTTAAAGTTAAAAGGTTTGACGTCGACCCAGTTTCGCGTTGTTGCGAATATCGAACCAGTGGCCGCTAATAAAACAATGTAGGTTAAAAGCTTGCCGTGGAAATTTAAAAAGTATATCACTACAATATGTGCGTACGCAAAGTTAATGTAACTTTTCGCAAATTAAATTTTTTGCTAATAATTCGATAATTTGTAAAGCAAGTGGTTATTTAATATCATTATATCATATAGATTTAAACGCACATTATCCAAAATCTGTAGTGCGTTTCAAAATCTGAATTGTATCCTTTCAGTGATGGTCTCGTGAGAAAAATTTCATAGATAACTTGTCAATTCTATTTGTGAGTTTTTATGAAATACTCACGTATATTTATCAAATATAATATGTAATACAAACATATTAACGTGAATCTTTTGTGTATATACTAAAAATATTTATGTAAACTTTACTGAACGAGGAAACCAGGAATGCCATCGACACAAAATTTCGTCCAATTGTGAATCTTGATTGGGGCTTTAAAAAAGTTTATTTGGGGCACCGAGACCTAAGGCTTCGTTCTCGAGATAATTGGCTCTGAAAGTTTTCTAAAATTTGAGACAAAGTTTCAACTTTAAGGTTCAATATCTCGAAAACTATTCTAGATAAATGATCCAAGTTTATTTTATCTTGAAAAGCGTTTAAATCTGATTGAGAATATATAAATATGCATAATAATTTGTATAATATTATTTGAGATATTATCGATTTTGTGAGGCAATGTCGGACGATCAAAATTTTTCAAGGCAAAAAATGCAAAAATCACTTTTGATTTTTTACATGTCCTAAAACTTCAAAAAGAAAAATTCCGAAAATGATTCTCCGCCCACTTTTCCCCTCTATCCATTCGTATTGGTAAACACAAAAATTGAAAAATTTAGAAAAATCAAAATTGAAATTTTTCTAAAGGGTATGAAATCCATTCACAAATATTTCAAAGAACCATATTTCGAAATCCAGGAGTCCTAGGGCTTCGCTTTCGAGATAATCGGCTTTGAAGGTTTTCCAAAATTTGAGAAAAAGCTTTAACTTTGAGGCTAAATATCTTGAAAACTACCTATTTGAGATAAATGATTCAATTTTGTTTTATCGCAAAAAGTGTATAATTTTGATTAAGAATATACAGTGAGCACGTCAAGGTTGGAATAAAATCCATAAAATATACAGGGTTGATATTTTTCAAAAAACTTCGGACACGTTGATCTTTGATTTTAGTGGCCGTTTTTTCGATGATAATATCATGTATACAGGGTGACCCATAAACAAGTTATTGTATAATTATATGTCAAAGTCAAAGATAGGGGGAGTTTGGAAGGTGATGTCACTTATGTGTCAGAGAATAAAGGTCGTATGAAACGCTCCCACAGTTTTATTTGACAGTTTACTTTAAAACCTCAATCAATGAACTAAACTTATACTAACTTAAGTATCTAATGTAACATGGTGTCCAGATGTAAAAATTTTTGGGTAAAATCGTCGGATTAGGGAAATAATTCAAAAATTCTGTGGCCTAACCTCAAATGTCATAAAGCTGGAAAATTTAGAGAAAATACTCGCAATGGAAGAACTTCAGCAAAAAAATGAGCAATTGCAAGGCCAACTAGATAGAATGGAGCGAAGTTTAGCTCAAATTCAAATGCTGGGAGTTAGCACCAATAACACAACAACAGTGACCAATGTACCACCCCCAAAGAAGTTCTCTTATGCCAGTGGAATGGAATGCGTGGTTAGTGAATTATGAACGATACCGAAATGTGACAAATGCAGCCCAAATGAGTAAAAAAGCACAAGTTGATAGTCTCCTACTTAATATGGGACCTGGAGTTAACCGATAGCAAAGTTCAATAAAAGAGTGCAACAAGAGGGCGAAACAGCTCAACAATTTATTTCTTCCATTATAACCCTAAGCAAGACCTGCAATTGGATGGCACTATATCCGAAAAGCTTATAAGAGATAAGCCTGTTGTTGGCATTTTAGACAAAAAGTTATCCGAAAGCTTACAGTTAGACAGTAGCTTAACACTTGAATCGGCTAAAGCAAAAATTGTCCAAAGTGAAAGACTTAAATGGGAAAATAAAGCTCTACAGTATAATTCCCTTTCAGTAAGTAGAATTTCTACTCAGAAAAGGCCTAAATCACGAAACGTGGGTAATCAATCAACGAAAACTTATTCACAATGTGGTCGATGCGGTAAAAAACCAGGTCATAGGTTGAAAGAATGCACTGCATTAAAAGAACGCTGTCAAAAATGCTCAATGAAATGTCACTACAGTAAAATGTGTAGAACGCAGAGACAAACTACTAGCAAATTCAAGCATGTTAATGAAGTTGACGACTCCTCCGACTCATTCGAAGACACTGAAGTTGGCGAAATAGTCGGAGAAATACAGAGTGGCTCGAATACTGCATGGAAAATAGCAATAAAAGTTCCTGAGGAAGAAATATCTTTCAAGATTGATACAGGTGCTGATGTAACAGTATTGAGTAAGACATCGTATGATAAGCTAAAAGAAAAACCAACACTGAAATGTACTAAAGTAAAATTGAAAGGTCCAGGAGGATGTCCATTTAATGTTATTTGAAAATGTACACTCTAGATCAGTTTTAAGGGTGAGAATTTCATACATCTGTCAAAACTGGTATTCCAACAATAAATTGACATGTTTTGATTGTTGATTTGAACCAATCAGATTGTTATTACGCGATAATTTGCACTAGTGCAAATTATCAGATAATTGCACACTAACTAGTGCGAAAACTGGTGTTTTGACATTTTTTGACAAAAAATTTAAATTTTTGATTTATGAAATTCTCTCATTAAATACAACTCGGGCAATGAAAATATATTTATAATTTTCGACAAATTTGCACTCATGCGTTTTAAACTGAAAAAGGCACTCGTGCACTACGTGCACTCGTGCTCTTTTTCAACTAAAAATGCATTCGGGCAAATTTCCCAAAAATTATCAATAATTTCCATTGCACTCGTTATATTACTATTGAAAATAATAAAATCAAGGTACCTATATGTCATGGAAAATCATGAAAATTTACTTGGCAGACCTGCAATACAGGACTTGAACTTGCTAAAACTGATTGAAAGCATCAATGCCCAGAAAACTGCGAGTAGGTACTGAAAAACCATGTTTGAGAAAAATTACAAAATATTTCCCAGAACTTTTCAACAGAATTGGGAAATTAAGAGACTATGAATACAAGATACAAATGACAGAAAACTGTGTGCCATACTCAATTTCAGCACCCAGAAGAGTAGCACTTCCATTAATGGATAAAGTTAAAAGAGAGCTACAGAAAATGGTAGAACAAGAGATAATTGAGCAGGTGGATTACAATAATCCTACTCCATGGTGTGCACCAATTTTCATCGGTGGTTCCCGTTCGATTCTGGGGTTCACCGAATGTTTCGAGACAAGGAATGTACAGATATGTTAAGTTACTGCATCCAGTCTAATGTGGAATACACGTAATAAACAAGTAGCAGCGCGTCAAGGAATCTCTGACAGTTTGCAGTGTCAGGACTCATCGCCCATGCATGTTTTCAATGCCGTCGTTCCAATATAAATCACAAGTAACTTAGCTGAGCGATTGTTACCTTCTGATAGTTTGCCTGTCAGGGACCTCTATGTCAGGGACTTTCGTGAGAACAGCAGCTTATGAGAAGTTAAAAATTGTAGAAGATTGCCAGCAAGGCAAGAGCATATTTTGGCGTTAATGACACAGAAAGTCTAAGAAACTTTCAAAACAAAGTAGGTAGCCATCCAGTGGTCAGCTAGAACCATTCAGACAAAAATTGCATCTTACTTTAATCAATACACTGGGAAAATTTACTTAATGGATATGTTTGCAAGTACCTATTGTACTGATTTTTCTTGAATTTTAAGTTTAGAGACCATTGCTGACAGTATTTGGCATTTTTAGGTAGACCTTCGTTGGTGTGAATGTCTCGATGATATGAACACGTCCGGTTTTTTTGTGTTCACACTAGTGCAAGTCTACTGTATTTGCTACGCGTAGGATTGTCACAGTTCTTTTTCATAGATATGACACTCAAGTTGTCTAATTTCAAAGTCACTGGTCCACACATACCTGTGAAGTCACTAAGAACACCTTTAAGATTACCAAATTCTGTACTCTGCCACCATTGAGGACAATGCGACAAAGTTCTGTTTTCTTGAATACCAGGTTTTGTGTCTCCAAAACAAATGATCAAGTTAGAATATGTGCTGACTTCACTGAGCTGAATAAATTTGTTTTAAGAGAAAAACTTATTTTACCAACAGTGGATTCTACACTGGCACAAATAAGAAATGTAAAAGTATTTTCAAAATTAGATTGTGTATCAAGTTTTTGGCAACTTCCATTATCAGAAGGTTCGAAGTACTACACTGCCTTTTTAACACCTTTTGGAAGGTACATTTACAAGAGAATTCCTTTTGGAATTACTTCAGCTCCAGAAATTTTTCAGAGTACAATGAATAGACTTTTCAATAACCCATGAAGGGGTATTAGTACACATTGATGACATTACAGTTTTTAGAGAAAATGTTGCACAGCATGATGAAAGGTTGCTTAAAGTGTTACGAGACAATGGACTTACCTTAAACGAGTCGAAATGTCAGATAGGCATTTCGGAAGTGAAATTACTTGGACACATTATCGGACAATCGGGTATAAGAATGGACAGTGACAATATAAAGGCTATATTAGACCTTGAAGAACCCAAAACAGTGACAAATGTGAGGCAGTTTCTTGGTATG